GGTGCCAGTTTGCAAGAGCTGATTGTTAAAATTTCAGAAATGTTTGTGAGCCAGTAGACCAACAGCCATAATTACACATTAAATTAGAGCAACTTATAAATTAATAGGTTGTAGTAAAGCGAAGGTAATTAATACTCAAAATTCATCACTTTTTAATTATTTTACTACCTTTTTCTAGCCTGTATGTTCTTGGCATTATTTACAACCATTGTATCTCTATAAGGGAAATACATAATGGTGACTACCTTATATGCCTCCCCAGCCTCTCCAGTGATGTCACATCAACAGCTTAAAATTGGCCACAGGGTTACTTACACCAGAGAGATTGGCAAATGTTATAGCCCAGGGCTTTCCCCCCAGGGGCCAGTTGTTAGGTGCTCACCAGGACACTGCTGGCTGCCTCTGTCCCCACATGTGATCAGTGTCCATCAAGACAAATGGGAGCCACTGTGGATTCTATCACGTTTCCTTATCACGGTGCACAGAACCAGGCTGTTTGGCTGAGTCCCAGGTTCTAGTCCAGCCTGGGCCTCTGACTTAATGTCTAACTCACAGGACAGGGAAAACCTATCCAGAAGGTTCATGGCCTATAAAAATTCATTTTAATTCCTTTCAAATTCAGAAGAAACAATGAATAGACTAATGATAAGTGCAGAATTATGAGTCCAATCTGGATTATATCCGTCTTTGTACCAATGAGGTTAAAAAATATATATTTTTACTCTTTTGTTACTGGAGCCCATGGAAGTTGTAAAGCACCCCGTGGGGTACCAGGGGGCTGCTGTAAAAACACCATCTGAACAAGTTTGCACAGTCGCTGCTACTGGGGGAAACAGCAATCCCCTCAATTCTCAGTAGTACATCAGGATTTTAAATTCTGGCCAGAATGTTGTGCAGCCAGGGAAAATAAGGTGTGAAGGATACAGTAAGGATACATGTGCCCTGTGATTACCCCTGGGGAACTCACCTGGGCGAGGGCAGGCAGGGAGAAGGGAAAGGTAAATGGGTGGTGTGTCAGGCTGGTCTCATTTCTTTTGTATAGTTATTTATTCCTTTTTATCCTTATACCCACTCGAATTCTCTGACTCTTTTTTTTAAGTTTATTCACTTATTTTGAGGGGGGAGGGGGTAGAGAGAGGTGGAGAGAGAGAATCCCAAGCAGGCTCTGCGCTATCAGTGCATTTCCTGTTGTGGGGCTCAAACTCATGAACCGTGGGATCATGACCTGAGCCAAAACCAAGAGTCAGACCCTTAACCGATTGAGCCAACCAGGCACCCCCTCCTCTGTTTCCTTCTTCTTCTTTTTTTTTTTTTTGTTAATGTTTTTTAAATTTATTTCTGAGAGAGAGAGAGCAGGGAAGGGTCAGAGAGAGAGGGAGACACAGACTCTGAAGCAGGCTCCAGGCTCTGAGCCATCAGCACAGAGCCCAACATGGGGCTCAAACCCACAAACCATGAGATCATGACCTGAGCCAAAGTCGGATGCTTAACCGACTGAGCCACCCAGGCACCCCTTCTCTGTTTCTTATATTGTCACTAAGAGCTGCATTTTTAGATCCATCCAAGTTGCCATGTGTCTGCGGTAGGGATCCATTCTATGCTCCCTGTGATGGACCCCTCCTCCCTTTGCCACCCACTCCTTTCCACTATAAATAATGCCACCACTCATGTTCTCGGTTGTGTCCCTTCTAGACCTGTAAGAGTGTTCTTCTGGGGTCAATAATCAGGAGCAGGACTGCTGGATAATGAGCAGCAGCACCCCGTTTTTCTCCAGGCCATGAAGCCTACACCCTACACAACTTCCACAATGCCCCAGAAAGCCTGGTACCCTCACCCCCGCCAGCACTGACACCATCCAGTTTCCTATCATGCGTTCGCCAGTTCAGTAGGGATACAATGAGGTCTCTCTGTCATCTCAATGTGCAACTCTATGATCACTCATGCCTTTAAAATTTTTTAATGTTTATTTATTTTTGAGAGAGACAGAGTATGAGGGGGAAGGGGCAGAGAGAGAGGGAGACACAGAATCTGAAGCAGGCTCCAGGCTCTGAGCTGTCAGCACAGAGCCTGATGAGGAGCTCGAACTCATGAACCGTGAAATCCTGACCTGAGCTGAACTTGAACGCTCACCTGAGTCATGCAGGAGCCCCCCTACTTTTTTTTTTAAATATATTTTTTAATATTCATGGTGAGTGATAACTTTAAATGTGTCATCCCATGTTAAAGTCTTACTTTCAGATATAGCCTTCTCTGAAATTGCCTTTTAAAACCTCAGAACATTTTTCTGTGTTAGGGAAGTATCCTTGCTTTGCTTTGCAGGCCTTCCAGATGTTAATCTCTGGTTTCAGATGTTGCAGATGCCTTCCCCTATTCTGTCCCATGCCAGCTACAGTCACCTCTGGTGTCTTCCATGGAATAAAAAAAAACCACCATAAATTTGATGTAATTAAACTTACCAGGTTTTGGCCTGATGTTTTGTGCTTATCATTTTTTTGTTTGAGATGTCCTTCCTTGTCCTGAAGTTGCAAAAATATTTTACTGCATTAACTTTATAGTTTTGCCATTTCCTGTAGAACTTTACTCTACCTGGACCCCATCCCTGGACGAGGAGCTAGGTATGGATCCTGTTTTATTTTTCTTCATATAATAAGCCAGTTTTCCAATGCCATCATCAGATCATCTGTCCCTTACTGGTGACGCCACTCTTGTTGTGTCTTAAGTCCCCCAGGGGTATATAAGTCTGCTGCTGAGCCCTTCATTATGTTCCACTGGACTTCATGCCTATCCCTACGCAGACCCCATGTTGGATTTACCATGATGGCCTCATAGGATCCTTCTACCAGGTCTTCTTTCCATGTCCTCTTTCACTAAGGTTGACTTAGCTATTTGAGGCCTATGTGCCTCCTAATGAATTTTAGAGTACATTTTGGGGAAGTCTAAAAAACTCCTTTGGAATCTATTGGAACTGTATTGTATTCATAGGTTAATTTGTGAAGAACTTTTTTGTCTTTTGATATTAAGTGATCCATCTGGGAGCACAGAGCCAGTAAGTCTTATTTCCTGTATATGTGTTATAATGTGACGAAAAGTAGAAAAGTAGAAGGAACGAAGAAGCGGGGGCAGAATAAGAGGAATGAGGAGCGGAGGCACGCTGGGGGTCCCTCCTGCTCACACAGACGGCCACTGCTGCCCCGGGCCTGATAAAGTGGCGGCCAAGGCAAAGCCCTGGCCTAGTCACTTTCACGCTGGGTGGGGGGTCCAGGCGCTGGGCTCTCAGCCAGTATCTCCCTGAAGCCTCCTCCAGTCTGTGGGGCAGTTGCTGCTCTCCCTGCTTTATGGGTCTGGTAGGTGAGGAACCGGCCCAAGGCCAGGTGCAGAGGAAGAATTCAGTCCAGACAGGCTGACCTCAGAGTTCGTGCTTTTAACCATGGTGCTGTCCACTTCCTGGGCTGCTGCTGCGATGGCGTGGGGGCAGTGGAAGCCCACCCATCCACACCAGGCCTTGGGGTGCCTTTTTGCCATCGCTCCACCTGGCCTTAGTACGTGCTGAGCTTGGCACTCACAGCCACTTTTGCAGTGACCCCAAGGAATGAGGGACCCTAGTGCCCTTGCCTGGCCCCCCCATCCCCACCATTGACCACGTCTTCCCGTCTTCCCTCTCCGGCTGCACCAGCAAACCCAGTGCATTTGGGACTTCTGGTGTGGCTGCCCCCACGTCCAACTGGGAAAGCCAGAGCCCGGGATTTCCCTTGAGACTCAGGGACCAGGGCTGAGGCAGTAATTCTTGAACCCAGGAAATGCTCTGGGAGGAAACTTATGCAGCCCAGAGAACCCTCACTCTGCGTCAGCCTAGCCTGGAGAATAGCCTGGGGCAGAAGGCTAGACCTCTCCGGGCCTCCATTTTCTCCTCCCCACACAGGGCTGGCCCACGCGGCAGAGCTGTAGAAGGAAGCGGGAAGGGGTTTTGAACCTCCCTACCCCTCCTCTTTTACACACAGGTGCAAAGGCTCGTGTTTCACACAAGGATTCACCTGACCTTTCTGTAAGCCTCAGGCGTCTCTAATTCCTGCTGTGTCTGTACCCTGCACTTTACTTTTGTCACTTCACTTAATGCTCTCAGGTCAAGGCAAGACCTTGATAATTTCCATTCTATAGACGGGGAACCTGAAGCTCAGAGACAGAAGGTGACACGCCCCGCATCACACAGCCCCTGAGTGGCATGGCAGGATTGGAACCCAGGCCCATCAGACAATGAAGCAGCTGCGGAATACAAAGGTATGTGCTCAGAAACTCTGAGACTTCAAGGTAAGGGGTCCGTGCCCTTCAGCGTGAGAAATCGGCATCTGTGAAAGTAAGTCCCCAGCCTCACCGAGTTTGTCCACAAAAACTGATATACTGCGGCCCAACTGATGCAATGTCCACACCCTAGAATTTCCCTTCCAGGAACACAACGACTTGCATAAAGCGAGGGCCCCTGCCTTCCTGTCTTTCAGCTGTTTGTTAGGTGGGAGGAGGGAGGAGGGAGAACACCCACTCAGTCTAGGCTTCGGGGAGCAGGAGATGGGCTGGTGGCCCAGGGGCCGTGCAGGATGGTCTAGTAATAATGGTTTCTCACCTACAGCAGGTGCTTGACCTTGGTCAAGCACACTGGGGAGGGTGGGGGTGAGCAGGGAAGGTGAGAGGTCCCCAGTGGCTAGGAGCTCAAGGCTAGAGTTGGGCAAGTTCATGGGCAGTGGGGCAGGCCAGGGGGCTGCTGTCTCTCTGTCCCCTTTACCGTTTTTTCTTTCTTTGTGTTGGTTTATCTTTTAATTCCCTCTCTCTAGCTAGCTTTCTCTCTCTCTCTTATCTCTGCCTCTTTTGTTTCCTACTGAGGAAACCAGCACAACAGTTACAAAAGGGAGACCCAGCCACTGGAGGTGATGCATACCTAGCCCGGGCCTGGCCCAAGACCCTCCCCTGGCTCAGAACCCTGTCGGGCTGATGCCGAACTCACCCATCTGTCTCCTCAGCCAACAGACATTTATTTGGGGCCTGAAACGTGCAGGCCCACGCTGGGCTGAACCTGTGAGTGAGGCTGATGTGCCTGCTTGTAGGAGCTCAGAATCTGGGGGAAATGCCTGCCCTCCCTCGGCTCAGTCCAGCCCTCACCCCTGCCCTGCCCCTTGGCCCTCAGGTGTGCAGAGCTCTGGGCCATTTGCCCCCCACCCCACATGACAGCAGATCAGAGGTCAGGGTGGGGAGGGGAGCTTGCTTCTGGCCTCACACCCACTACTGAATAAGTGGCATTCTGTGAAATTCCGTGTCCCTGGACACCTGGAGGGTGGGCGGCCCCCTGTGGCGGGGGTGGGGGGGCTCATCTGCGTAGACAGGCCCACACCTCTAGTCCACAACTGCCCCAGTGCCTGAAGACAGTTGTGGCAAGAGGAAGGAAGGGGAGAGGCTGGGATTCCTTCCAGGGGCAGCTCTGACAGCAGAGTCCCCTGTTACTAAGACCAGAGATGGCCAATGGCAGAGATAAGCTGCTCTGCTATGAAGGGAGGAGGCGGGGGTGCGGGTAGGGGTGCAGCGGGGGGCACCGCTCTATGCTGTCAGTGGTCTTCAGACTCCTAGAGTCCTGGATCAGTGGACTTTAGGACTCAGAGAGGTATCTGGACAGAACCACTGAGGCCAGGTGGTCCAAACTGGTCCCCATCTTCTCCCTTCCCCAGCCACATGGCACAAACATAGAGACTGAAGCCTGGAAGGAGGCAAGGAGCAGCCTGAGTTCACACAGGGAATCGGAGCAGAGTCCAGAACGTGCGGCCGGCTCCCAGCCTGAGCACACGGAGGCCCCCTATTCGTGAGACGTGGTGTGGACCTGGTCAGCTCTGGCAGTGCCAGAAGATGAGGACACTGCGGTCCGGCTTGGGAAGTAGAGCACGGCGAACCAGCAGAAGATGAAGACGCCTGTCAGGAAGGAGAGGGCCTGGATGAGCTTGGGATCAGACAGCAGGGAGCTGGGCAGCCTGGCTGGGGGCTGCCCGAGGAGAAATAGCTCCCTTGCAGAAGTTCAAGAGCATATGGAAAAATCAGGCAAAAATGAAACCAACCCCTGAAAGAGAGCCAAATGGAAATCTTGGAAATGAAAAACGGAGACCTGCAAATCACATATACATACACCTATCACAGAAAAGAAAGAGCAGCATAAAGGCATTTTCAGACACACAGAATGGCCACCACTACAGTGACTTTCTCCTGTCCCCTCCCCATTAAGGATGATTACAGGATACACACCAGCAGGAAGAAGTGGGAAGGTAGGAGGTTTCAAAGTGTATTAAGTACAGAAATTGACAGAAAAGTTAAAACTTTGTGTGTGCTTAGAAGGAATTCACAACGCAAGTGTTAACCACAATACAACTACGGAGAAGCGTTCAAGGGCAGCTGAAGTGTAGGGACCGTTGGGTTTGGAAGACAGATGGACTGAGTACCGCGCACTCAGCTGAGACAAGTCGGTAGGGAAAAGTGTTCTGGCGTAAATATTAAGAGTAACCTCCGGAAGAATGATACCATCTAGTTTCGAGGTGTGCCCATCCGCGACCACAGATGTTCCAGATATGGGCTCATGTGTCTTTCCCTGGGCGGCCTCTCAGAGAGCCTGCTGTTACTGACATCGTCCGCACATGCTGAAGGCCTATTGTGCCCCCCACAAGCACTGTCTCAGTTACTCATTATGAAGTCTGGTGGGGTGCCTGGGTGGCTCGGTCAGTTAAGCGTCCAACTTCGGTTCAGGTCATGATCTCAAAGTACATGAGTTAAAGTCCTGAGTTGGGTTCCGTGCTGACAGCTCAGAGCCTGGAGCCTGCTTTGACTTCTATGTCTCCCTCTCTCTCTGCCCCTCCCCTACTCTCACTCTGTCTGTCTCTCTCTCTCTCTCTGTTTCAAAAAAAATAAATAAACATTACAAAAATTAAAAACAGATGACCAGAGGAGCTGTGTGGCTTACTGAGGTAGTAAGCAAAACCAGGATTTTGGCCCAGGTCTGCCTGTCCCCAGGGCTACCTAGCATAATGCCACACAGTCTCATTAGGCTCTGGGGACCAGTACTTTTTGTGGGGCTTTGAGTCCAAACACATGCTTGTCACTCCCTTTCCAGAGATTTCTCTGAATTGGGCTGTGGGGCTTCTTAAAGCTGTATGTAGGGGCATCTCGGTGGCTCAGCTGGTGAAGGGTCTGACTCTTGGTCTCAGCTCCGGTCATGATCTCACAGTTCATGGGATTGAGCCCTGTGTCAGGCTCTGTGCTGACAGCATGGAGCCTGCTTGGGATTCTCTGTCTCTCCTTCTCTCTCTGAACGTCCATTGCTCTTTCTCACTCTTTCTCTCAAAAGTAAATACATTAATTTTTTTAAAAGCTGTGGGTTTGGCACAGTGTGAGGTGTGAAGAAGACAGGGGGACCGTCACCCACATGCTGGGCGACTGTCCCTCTGCTGGGAAATCAGAGGGAGGAGGAGGTGGGGGACAAGGAGCACACCTGCCCGTCATTTCCTCCGCTAATCACTTCCTTCTGCCAGGACAACTCCTTACAGACTGTCCGTGTCATGTGGCCATCACATCACGTGACCCTGCCCTCCTGGTCACGGCTGACTGGACCAAGGTGGCTCCATCTGATCCTTCACTCTCCTAAGAACATGGACCAGACTGAACCAGACCACCCTCCCTAGATAGAGTCGCGTCGGGCGGAAGAAGCCATTTGGGAGCATGCGTAGGAAGCAGCCGCGGAGAGAAGGAAGGAGTTTCCACAGAGAGAAGGTGAGAGATGACAACATGCGCTCCGGAGAAAACGATGCGGAAAGTATCTGCTTTGGTTTGGATGGCTTTTCCTGACGCTGGTACCAGCTCCCAAGAGGTCAGCCAGCCTTCCCGCCCTGGGGTTCCCGGGGAAAGCCCTGATGGGAGCCAGCCTGAGTGGGATCTGTTTCTGGCCCCCTGCCTCCTCCCCATACCCCCGACGCACCCCCTTATAGGCGAAGCCAGCCAGCACCTCCCCGGCCCAGAAGCCTCACCTTGCAGGGAGTTGAAGAGCGCGAAGACATAGATAGTGGATCGGCCCAGGGGTGTGAGGATGGCCAGCCACCAGGTCACACCCACCAGGCTCGAGAGGCTCAGCACAGTGAGGACCCCCTTCCAGTTCGGCCCCTGCTCCTTGCCTGCCGTGGCAGTCGGCAGAGTGAAGATCTTCCAGGCCACCAGGCCCAGGACCACGGCGCTGAAGAGGGAGATGATGATGAAGTAGCCGTGGACAGTGACATAGAAGGCAGCGACATTGGTCTTCTCATGGAACCAGCACCTGGGGGCAGTAGATGTCCCCTGGGATTGAGGGGTTGTCCTGTCCGGCAAGCCCCATACAGCCTCCCCTAATCCTTCCCCCCACTGCCACCCACCAGCCCCCTATTCTCCTGGGAAGGGGCTGTCAAAGGGCTCCAGTCTGCCATCTCTTTAGACCAGGGAGTACAGGGACGCCTGAGTGGCTCAGTCAGTTAAGCGTCCGACTTTGGCTCAGGTCATGATCTTATGGTTCATGAGTTCAAGCCAAGAATTGGGCTCTGTGCTGACAGCTCGGAGCCTGAAACCTGCTTCCAATTCTGTGTCTCCCTCTCTCCCTATCCCTCCCCTGCTTGCGCTCTGTCCCTCTCTCTCAAAAATAAACATTAAAAAAAAAAATAGAGATAAAATTATTCCTAGACTGGCGAGTGCAAAGGGGCCAATTTAGGCCCAAAGACATGTTTCATTTGCCCACATCATGTTGTAAAACAACTGAATTAACAACCACCCTTTAAAAAGTGGGAGGTTTGCCATAAACACCCAGATTTCTTGTAAAGCCGCAAAGCCAGCACTCTGTGGATTCCCTCCTGAGGGATGTTAGATGGGCATGTGACTGCCAGTCTACTGCAGCCCCGCTGCCAGGGGCCACCGTGTGCACTTATGTTACCTCCCTAGCCCCTGTGGCCCCTGCATTTGAGGTCTTGGGGACAAGACCAAAGCCCACCAGCCTCTCTTAGCACAGAGCCTTGGGCCCGGGGCAGGCACCCTGGGGGAGGCTCAGCTCAGCCCCGTGCTGCACACACTACAGGGCAAAAGGTGGGAAAGAGTATGTTCATCACACCCCATTGTACAGATGAGGAGACTGAGGCCCTGGGAGGGGCCGAGCTAAGCCACACAGCAACTTAGAGGCAGAGCCCAGTTAGAACCAGGGCTGCTACCACTGTTGGGCAGGTTGTGTCCTGCACAAGGGCACCTAGCTGAGGGGGCAGGTGGGGCTAAGCCCATGGCATGATAGTTTGGCAGGGGGGGTGGGTTACCCAAAGGCACCATATGGGCCAGTGGTGGCCCAGGCATTCTGCCTCAACTCGCTCTCCTCCATTTCAGACCCCCCCCGTCTCACTGTGCTTTCTCCATCCAGTCCTCAGTTTACCCCTCCAGGCCATGAGCTAGCTGGAGGATCCTTCGCCTTGACTTACTCAGTCTCCCTTCCCAGGACTGCCCCCTCTCCCCACATCCCTCTGGCCCAACCATGTGCATCCAGGGACCTGACGTCACCCTCACTCTCACAGCCACCACTCACAGCTCCAGCGTGACCATGTTCTTCTTGTCGCGGATGGCATAGTGGCCATAGCTATTGGCGCTCCCGGTGCCAATGACGATCAGAGCAGGCAGGCCTGTGCACAAGGGGAGGGCTGCGGCAATGCTGGGGCTCCCTTGGTGTGTCCCCCCAAAATCCCCTCCAGCTGCCCATCCCTCAAGCCCTGAGCCCGTCTGAGAGAGGGGGCCAGCTCTCTGCCCTGGGTGGCCCTCTGTCCCACCCCTCCCAGGGCAGGCCATGCTCTCCGGCTGCACCAGCTGCACCTACCCCAGCCCACAAGGCTCAGCTTCAGGAAGTAGTGCCCAAAGTAGGTGTTGAAGACCTTGATGACGAGCAGGTAGAGGTGGAAGGCTTCCAGACCCATCCAGGTGAAGGTACAGAGTAGGAAATAGTGGAAGATGGCCCCCCGGGGCCAGCAGGTGGCATCTGACTGCTCAGGGCCATGGCCAATGTTGATGAAGAAGGTTAGATTCAGGAGAAACAGGCTAACACTCAGGGCCACATGCACCTTGGGGGCATCTTCTGACTTGAACCGCTGCCGGTAGAACCTGAGGTGAGAAGGGCCGATGAGAGGCTTCAAGAGGCTGCAGCTCCCACGGGGCACCGCGGCCTCTCCATTCCACCTCCTTTGTTGCATCCCTGCTGGAGCTGGAGCGTGGGTGCTGTCAGGTTCGGGTGCAGGAGCCCTCTTGTGGCCCCCGAGGCCCTGTGGGGTCCCGACCCTGCTGGCCTCATCCCTTGACTCAATGCTCTGGCCAAACTGCAATACCCTGAATGCATTCGGCTTTTCCACACCTCCCAGACTTTGCCCCTGCTCTTCCCTCTGCTCCCAATGCCTTTCCCTACTCTTCCTTCAAAACCTCCTTGGGCCCTTCCTTCTGAGGAAGCGGTCTCCGAATGCCACATATCCCACCCAGGCTGATTTGGAAGTTTCCTGCAGTGCCCCTTAGCCGCCTTCCTCGCCTCTGGCTGAGCCCTCGGGCCAGCACAGGAGGCAGGGGCAAGCCGTGCGTGCATTTGGTTGAGTGAATGGACAGCCACGGGTGCGGGAGGCTGGGTCTTAGGAGGGAGAATGAGGCCCAGAGTGGGCCGGGGCCTCACTTCCTCTCCATGGAGCTCCCACTCCAAATTCCTAGCAACTCGGATCCCCAGGGCTCTTACTGGAGGGATGAGAGCCCAGAGCTGCCCAGAAGGCCACATGAGGGATAACGTTCACCTCACCTGAGATGCCACAGCCCACCCTCAAGAGCCGGGGAAGACTCCTCTGGGGCTCCAAGTCGGACCCACAAGGCCCAACAGTGCGGCAGGCTGGCAAGTCATGCTCAGCCTGTTGGGGCTGGGGGCTGGGCCCTGGGCGGAGGGGCTGGGCAGGGGGCGGGGGCCCGTGGGTGGGGGACAAGAGCTGGGGGCAGGGGTGGCTCCGCTCACACGTGTGGCTTGCTCGAGATGGAGGGAGTGGGGCTAATGGAAGCCGCAGCCCAGGCCTAAACAGTGACAGAGACAAAGAGGCACGTGGAGAAGGGCAGGAGGAACACCCCAGACTGAGTCAGGAGACCCCAGGGCAGCCCCGGGTCAGTCACGAGCCGAGAGGCCGGGGTCCAGGGCAGGCTGGGGCATGTGGCTGCTCCGGCAGGCTCCTTCAAGCCTCCAGTTCCCATGGGTCCCTCAACCACAGCCTGGACCCAGAGAACCCAAGCACAGGCCAACGATCTCTGCCTGTCCTGCACCCACTGCTCCTTCTGGAATGGGTTTCCCTGAGGAAGCCTCTTTCCTGCTCTCAGCCCTGAAGTTTGGCTGTGGTTGACACTTTGTTAGCTCAAACCCAAAAGCAGGCACATGACCTGGTGTGGCCAATCAGGGTAATCCCTCCCTTGACCACAGTGACCTATTCAGTCATGGGCAAGTGGTTCAAGTTAGAGCAAAACTCAGTTCTGGTATACACGGGGCAAATTGCATAGAAACACACACACACACACACACACACACACACACACACAGGAATGCATGTAAAAAGCAGTGGAAACTGGATTCTAGTTAGTAGCACTGTACTGATGTCAATTTCCTGGTTTGGGTATTAATACTAAAGTTATATAAAATGTTATCACTGGGAAGAGCTGGATGAAGAAACAGTAGGACTCTATGTAGTATATTTGTAACTTCTTGTTAGTCTATAATGATTTCAAGATAAAATATTAAAAGTAAAAGGCTTTAATTCTGGAACTTCATTTAAAAATTCACTGCTTAGGCAGCTAAGAAGCTGTGACACAGGCCTGGGACTCCTCAAGGCCCCTGAGAGTGAAGAAGCTGCTTGATAAGGCTTGACAAGGGGAGCAAAGTTGGGAGAAGCAGAGGGGGAGCAAGTCCTGGAGACTTTTGAGCCCCTGGATCCAACCATGCCTGAAGGCTAATTTGTAAGAACCACATATTCCCTATTACATTTAAGTGACTTTGAGTTGAGTTCCTGCCACTTTCAACTGAAATAACTCTGACACATTTCAACCCCCAACCCCATTTTATAGATGAGGAAGCTAGGGTTTGGAGAGGAGATCAGTATAATGCTGCACAAACAGGGCACTTCCTAGTCTGCACCTCTTGTTTGAGGACAAGAGGGAGACACGGGGTGGGGAGAGGGGATCACCCACCTCAGGGCAGCGTAGAGGACAACAGTGAAGGCCAGGAAGATCATAGAGGCTCCACAGCCCGCCTGGGAAATGCGAACGAGGTCCTGCACCGTAGCCTGGTCCAAGATCGGCCTCTGTGGGCAACACCCAAGGAACCGGAACCACATCAGGTAGAGGTCAGGCCCCGCACATCCCAGAGGCCCTGGCCCCTGCCAGGCAGCCTCGGCACCTGCAGAATGGCTGGGATCAGGGTGGGTGGGCTGTTACCAGCAGCAAAGCGAAGAAGGTCAGGTGGTCACAGCGGCAGACAGTCCTCTTGGTGCTGAGCTCTGTGGAACAGCCCGTGGAAGACCAGTCTCCTGTCGGCCCTGGAGAGGAAGGGAAGGGAACATAGAAGAGTGTATGTGAATATGGGGGAGTGACGGGGACCTGAGAGGAGCTCAGCCCCCTCCCCCCCGCTCCCCGCAAGGAAGCTCCCACTCTCCCTGCCTACCTTTAGTCGCATCCCAGAATACACAGCTGAAGGTCATGTTCTGAAACCAGAGAGTGGGAATCAGGGTGGAGGCACGGGGAGGTTGGGAGAGGAGAGAGGGCAGAAGAGAGTGTGGGGAGGGGAGGGGAGAGGACAGCATGTCCCCCGCCCCGAGTGTGCATTGGGTAGAGAGCAAGGCTCACCCCCTGGGTCACACAGGAACATGGACTGCACCATTGGAGAGCCGTGGACCAGCGTGTGGAGGCGTGGACATGGTGTGGGGCTGTGAGTGGGAGTGCTGCATGGGCTGTGTGCATGTGCCTTTGGGGGAGCACGTGTTTGGGCGGCTGTGCAATCCTGCGTGCACACTCGTGGGTTTGCCAGGCCCCGTGTGCACCCCTGTAAGCACCAGTGGGAGGGGGTCTGGAGGTCAAGCGGACATTTGTGTGCAGATGGTATGTGTCCCTGGGCACAACCATGTGTGTTGTCTTTGTGGCTTCTGCCAGGTGGGTGTGGAAGGATGGGAGGTGCAGAGTCCTGTGTGTGTCTGCCTGCGTGCTTGTGGGTGACTGCCCGCCAGTCTACCCCTTGGTAGCTGCCGGGCCCGGACCCGAGGCTCACAGAGGGCGGGCGCTGGTGGGAGAAGGTGATCTCCAAAGGCTCGGCCAGCCTGCTGACGGACATATTGCCCAAACTCAAGCCCACCAGGCGATTGTTCAACACGCTGCTACCGTCCTCCAGGCTGAGCTTGGGGCCCTGCGGAGGGAGATGGGGAGCGGGCTCAGAGGGGGCTGTCCCAACCCGTCCCTGCTGGGGGTCCCCGGGAACCTCCAGGATCCAGCACCCTTTGCCTGGAGAGCAAAGTCTGTGGCTAGGGGACCAGGGGGCCAAGGGATCATGGGCAGTCTCCTGCCCAGGCTGGATCCCAGTGGACCCAACACCCCAGGCCAACTGTATGCAAAGCCACGTGGCCACGGCTCTCCGTTGCTGGCCCCAGGGCTCCTCTGCCCACTTAGGTGGAGGATTGTAGGGGAGAAGAAAGACCAGCTGTCCCAGGGGTGTCCACAGGGGGTGAGCACCTGCCCACGCCAGCACTCATCGTGCACTGTATCTACACGTGAGTGCATCACACACCTCTGGAGACGCGTGCCTGGTGCACACTTGCAAGAACCTGGGTACACTTGCTCGTGTGGACTGGTCACCCAGGAACACACGTGGTTACATACGCACCAGGAGCATGAAAGAATATGCGTGCTTGTACATGCACAAGGACACACAGGGGACATGAATGTTTGAGATGCATGTACAAGTCCAACCAAGGACTCTGGTGCACGGGGTCCAAACATCTGAGTGCATGTGACCAGTGTGAGCCTGCAGTGCACAGACTCCAAGGACACTCTGGGATGACCTTGGGCTGCTTTAGAAACGTTCTCCCGGGGGGTGCATGGGTGGCTCAGTCGGTTAAGTGTCTGACCTCGGCTCAGGTCATGATCTCACAGTTGGTGGGTTCAAGCCCCGCGTCGGGCTCTGTGCTGACAGCTCAGAGCCTGAAGCCTGCTTCAGATTCTGTCTCCCTCTCTCTCTTACCCTCCCCTGCTCATGCTGTTTCTCTCTCACAAATAAATAAAAACATTAAAAAAAAAAAAAAAAGAAAAGAAAAGAAACGTTCTCTGGAGGCTCCTCATCTCCATCCCCATTGGGATCCACAGCAAAGACTACGGGGTGTGGGAGCAAGTGGGGACACAGGTTCCTGGTGAACCGAGCACTGACACACTGAGCTGCCCTGAGCCTCCATCAGGCCTCTCCTCACCTTGAAGAGATTCCCTGGACCGATGTCCAGGACAGTGATGGCCAGCCGGACCACTGGCCTGCTGCCCTGCAGGGATTCAAAGAGACTCCGGGGCAGCCGGACTCTGTCGGGGTGCTCATGCTCATTCTCTGTCACTGGCCTCGGAACCTGTAATCAGACGCCGCAGCTCCCATCTTTACCCCAGGGTCCCAGCCCCCAACACAGGTCTTGCCATTCTCCCAGTTGGGAGGGGAAACTGAGGCACTGGGTGGAGGGGCAGCACCCCGGGGGCATCACTCTGAGACAGAGCATACCTGGAGGCACACCGCAGGCTCTGCTCTGTCCAGACTGTGAGCCCCTGGACAAGTCCCAGCCCTCACGGACCCTCAGTTTTCCCACTATGGAGAATGGAGCTCACAAATTGCCTGCATGGCCACCGCCAGGGTCAGGCTCAAAGAAGGCTGTGAAGTTCAGTTTACAAGTGTGAGGGAGGGCCGGCCGTGGTGTACTGTAGACCAGCTTCCTGGCAGCCCTTGTACTTACAGAGGGCTTTATGGTGATGGTGTCTGGCTCCTGCCCCAGGCATAACTGGAAAGAATAAAGCCTCCCCCTCCGGAAAGGGAGACCACGAGAGCAGAGGTGGAGAATACAAAACTTCACATAGAACGTGATTTCTCCCCTCCCCCGCCCCCGCCTAACAACAAACTTGGTAAAAGCTGAGAATGCTTAAAGTATTAAATTTCATTGGTAATTTGTTTATTCTCTGACCTCACTGGTTCCCTGGGCTGCAGCCTGGTCCCAACTGGTCCTGCCTCAAAAGCTAAGGGTTGGGGGCGAGAGCCCCAACTTTGTCCTTCCCAATCTGGACCCTTGTCAAAGAACATGGGGGTGATCCCTGAGCAGGAGGGCTCAGCTGTGTGGGTCACATAAATAAATGGTTGAGAAAGGCCTTATCTTTCATTGCTCCTTTTCCAGACAGCCCTAGAAGTTTCCTGATGATGGCCACCTTGCCTGCTGCCTGAACTCCCATCCTCAGCTTTCCTCCTTAAGGGAGTGAAGTCCCTGTACCCAGGTCTCACTGTGCATTATCTCACTTGCTCCCCCCATAACCCTGAAAGTGGGCAATATAGTCACCATTTTACGGATTGGGGAATCCAAGGCTCAGAAAATTTCAGTCATGAGCTCAATATCACAGTAGCTAGTGAGGGGCAGAGCTGGGATTTGAATCCAGACCATTGTAAATCTAGAGTCTTCCTGGGTGGCCCTTTGCAGTATGGTGAAGTGCGCCTTCGCCTGGTTTCCAATGTGTTCCCTGGGAGGAAGGGCAGGAGGGAGCCTCTGACCTTGGAGGAGGCTTAGTGCTCATCTTACAGATGAGGGCTCCGGGGCCCAGAGACGGGAAAGGGGTTCTTGGAAGACACTTAGGGAGGGGTTGGGGAGCCCAGGACTGGAACCCGGATGCCCTGACTCTCGATTTGATGATTTTCCCAATGTCTCTTCCTCCACCCTGAGTAATCTGTCCCCAGGATCCACTCATCCAGATAACTCCGTCGCACCTGTTAGCAAAGTGGCAGGGCACTACCAAGTGGGACAGGCGAGGGATACGTTTTGGTGGGCACCAGGCACACCAGGAGTCTCAGAATTCTGAAAAATACATCTGACGGAAATGGAGCCACAACCACCCACCAGGGGCAGGGAACTCTTCACCTGGGAAGGGGTCAGGGAGAAGAGCAGGTCTTCTGAGATGTTGGTGCTGACATTCTGGACAACAGCCTTCACAAAAGACATATTCACTATCTTCGTCTGATTCTCCACCAGATAGAACTCGTATTTCAGCCAGTATCTGCAAAGGGCCAGGGATCAGGGAGAAGATAGGGTGCTGCAGGCTGGGTTACCCACTCACCTCGTCCCCAGCCAGGGTGACTGGGAAGCCACCATCAGGCACTTGGAGTAGGATATCAAAGAAAAGACCCCAGGACCACAGCAGGAGAAGCAGGGTGGTGTGGGAGCAAGCCAGGCTCATTCTGGGAGATTCCAGCCAGGGATCCCTCTGCAGTTTATGTGTTTGTCTTTTTTGGTAACAATATATACATAATGTAAAGCTTACCACTTTAACCATTTTAAAGTGCACAATTCAGTGTCATTAAATACATTCACAGTGTTGTGTGACTGCCATCACTATCTAACTTTGGAACATTCTCATCACGCCAGAAGGAAACTCTGTACCCATAAGGCTGCCATCCTTTCCCTCTTCCCCTAGCCCCTTGCAAGCACTAATCTATCAATTTGCCTATTCTAGAAATTTCATATAAATGGAATTGTATGCTATCTGGTCTTTGTGTCTGGATCCTTTCACTTAGCATGTTCTTAAAGTTTATCTGTGTTGTACGAGCATGTGTAAATGTTCCATTCCTTGTTACAGATGAATAAAATGCCGTTGTATCAATATGTCACATTTTCTATGTACATTTATCCATTGATGGACATTTGGGCTATTTCCACTTTTCAGATATGATAAACATATTGTATTCAAGTACAAGCTTTGGCTTGAAGACTTGTTTGGAATTCTTTGGGGGTATATACTTAGGAGAAGAATTGTTGGGTCATATGGTAATTCTATGTTTAACTTTTTGAGGAATTAGTTAACTGCTTTCCACAGCAGCTGTACCAGCTGACATTTTCACCACCAATGCTTAAGGGCTCCATTTCTCCACATCTTTGCCAGCGCTTGATATTTTCATTTTGTCTTGTTTTGTTTGCAATTATAGCCGTCCTAGTGAGCGTGAAGTGGTATCTCATTGTGGTTTTCATTTGCATTCTCCTAATGACTAATGATGATGAGCATCTTTTTGTGTACTTATTGGCCTTTATATATCTTCCTTATTTAATCCTCTGAGTATTTCAAACTGTACCATGATAATTGGGTGGCATGAGTGCCAACTGGCATTTATGGAGTACTAACTACATACTGGGAATTCACCCTTTAAAGGCTGAACTGTATGGGACATGGCTTAGGGGCATTGAGCCAGTGTTGGAAGTACAGAGAACACAAAAGTTAATTGCCATTTATTTTATCACAGCCCCTTTGCCGTCAGCTAAAAGCACCCCCCACCGCCCACACACACACCCTTCTCCATGGTACTGAAACACTCCCGTGGCCAGAGTTCCTTTTCCTCAGCTGGGTCCTAAGATGGGCTGTCTACCTTTCCTTAGCAATTCTGAATAGGTGAGGGCTGAGGTAGCAATGGCAGAGAAGAGTAATAAAAGCATATCCAGCCAGATCAAGGCTGTTGAAAGGAGGAGCTAAGGAGAGCTTGCTAGAGAGACAAAAGGGAGACTTTTTATTGCACATTATAGAGAGCAAACCATGTAAATATGTGAAAATGTGTTTCAGTGGGGCAGGCAATTAGAACACCATCCAACTAGAAACAGTGGGGTGAGACTGTGGATATCTACTGATTGAGCTACACTAAGAGTCTCGCTTTTATTTACCTTTAAAAAATCTAAACAAAAGAGTATTGTGATTTTCACTGTCAACAAATAAAATAGTGGATTATAATTATTTTTACATATACATGTGCACTTAACTGTATCTGTGTGTGTGTGTGTGTTTAAAAATTTTTGGCCTCACAGAACAACCCAATTCACTTCTTTAAAAAATATTTAACGTTTATTTATTTTTGAGAGACAGACTGTGAGCAGGGGAAGGGCAGAGAGAGAGGGAGACACAGAATCTGAAGCAGGCTCCAGGCTCTGAGCTGTCAGCACCAAGCCCAATGTGGGCCTCAAACTCACAAACTATGAGATCATGACCTGGGCCAAAGTTGGATGCTTAATCAACTGAGCCACCCAGACACCCTGGTCCTAATTCACTTTCTTAAGGGAAGATTTCCTGATATAGTTCTCAGAGCACTTTTAAAAACTGCTTTAGTTGTGAAATGTAACATACAGTCAAAAAGTCTAATGCAGAGATGTAAAGTTGAATTTAATGACAAAGTTGATACTCATTTTAAACATCATATTCTTTGTCTGATATTTACATAGCTGCTCAGATATCTTTGGTTCGTGTTTACATGATATGTGCTTTCCCACATTGTGCCTGTTTTTACACTGTAAGTGGTGAGAGGCCTTTTATTAACCTCCCTAAGAGGGGATCTCTTGATGTTCTCCAGACCTCTGAATGCCTAGGGAATTCCCTGAGGTGACAGGCCCCTGAACTCTTGTAGGGTTTACTTCCCATTTTCTAGTTCACATTCATCTCCTGAAGGCAACTTAACTACTGGTTACTTTCTGCTCCTCAGATCCAACCAACATGCTGTCATCTATATAGCAGACCAGAGTAGTGTTCTATACAATGTCAACATTAATACGGTCTCTGTGGGCTATATGATGACAGAGATCGGGAGAACTGACTGAGTCCTGAGGAAACTGCGGCAGTATACTGTTGGCTCTGCCAGGTAGAGGTAAACTGCTTCCAGTAATCCTTGAAAATTGGTGTGGAGAAAAATGCACTAGCCATGGAGGAGCTACATATCAACTGCTCGGGAGGTGTGTCAACTGGTTTGGGCATACATACTCATCTGGGACAGCAGCTGCTGGTGGTGACCACCCGATGAGTGTAAGACAGTCCACAATCATTCTCCAACACCCACCCAACCTACGGGGAGTTAAGTGGAGTCATGGTAGGCATCACCCCTGCATCTTTCAAGTCCTTCCTGGTGGCATTAATCTCTGCAGTTCTCTCCAGGGATGTACTTTGGTTTCTGGTCTACTATCTTGGTAGGGAGAAGACATTCCAAAAACTTCCATTTAGCCTGTCAATGAAATGCCCTCCCAAAAGTAATTCAATAGAGAAAGCATTCTTTTCAACAAATAGTGCTGTAACAATTAGACATCTAAATGCAAATGTTAATAATAACTAATAACATAAAGTTAGACATTTACCTCACCCTGTGCACAAAAAATTAACCCCAAATATGTAACCTAGTCATAAGAACTAAAACCATAGACACTCGCAGGAGAAAACTTAGAAAATCTGTAGCTAGCTGAACATTTCTTTGATATGATATCAAACATACACACACACATACACTTAAATTTGACGTCCTCAAAATAAAATGCTTTTAATCTTCAAAAGACATGATTAAGAAAACAAAAAGACAAGACATACACTGGGAGAAAATATTTTTGAATCATACATTTGATAAAGGACTTACATCCAGAATATGGAAAGAATTCTTCAAATTCAATGGTGAGAAAATAAAACCCAATTTAAAAGAAGAGGGAGGCGCGCCTGGGTGGCTCAGTCTGTTAAGGGTCCAACTCCGGCTCAGGTCATGAATCTCACGGTTCGTGGGCTCGAGCCCCGCGTCAGGCTCTGTGCTGAGAGCCAGCTCAGAGCCTGGAGCCTGTTTTGGATTCTGTATCTCCCTCTCTCTCTGACCCTCCCCTGCTCATGCTGTCTCTCTCTCTCAGAAATAAATAAAACATTAAATAAATAAATAAATAAAAGAAGAGGGAAAGGTGGGCAGGTCAACATGGTAGAGAAGTAGGGGGACCCAAAGTTTCCTTGTCCCTCAAACACAGCAGTGTTGAGGCCAGAGGACTTGGAATTCCAAGAGTCCAGGCTGCAGGGTGACAGAGATGTCTCCAGGGACCCATGGGGACAGCTTGCAGGTCACAGGTACATGACTGCGAACTGGGAGAGATAAAACAGTAGTGGAGGCATGAAGGGCAGGGAGCCCCTTCTGTGGAGAGACTAAAGGAGAAGAAAGAGAAGCTGTGGATGTGTAGGATTATATTTGAACTAGAGAAAAACCACAGACTGGGGATCAGAAAAAGATGGAGAAAGATCTTCTAACTGCGGGGATTTCTCCAGACTGGGGCCCCACTACGAGTAGGGAGGTAAAGCAACCAGAGCCACAACAACAGAGGACATGGAGCACACTCCACAAACACCTCCTGAAGGGCCAGGCCCTGGACAACATATGACCCTTTTTTCATATAGTAGTGCTCGCAGGTGCAGGACACTTAACAAGATATTAAAACACATAAGGGACAGAAAACTAGCTGCCCTGTTTGCATGTGTGGGGGGGTGGGGAAGGGAACCAGCCCTGGGCTCAGTAGCCAGCTCAGAGGCGCAGTCCACAGTCAGAGAGAGCAAACCCCTCCCTTGAGTGCAGTGGGAAGAAGGCAAAGAGCTGTTCCAAGGACAAACGACCATGCTTGCACATGCTTGCGTCCACCAGCCAGAGGGCCTTTGTAGACAAAGGCCTTTTGTCTGCTGGAAGCAAATTAAAATGAAAACACGACAGTCCAAACCACTTGGGATGCAGCAAAGGCAGTCCTCAGAGGAAAATACATTGCAATCTGGGCCTATCTCAAGAAACAAGAAAAATCCCCAATATAAAATCTAACAGGACAACTAAAGGAATGAGAAGCAGAACAGCAAAGAAATCCCAAAGCCAACAGAAGAGAAATAGTAAAGATCAGAACAGAATTAAACAACATAGAATCCAAAAAACACCAGTAAAACAGATCAATGAATCTAAGAACCGGTTTTCTTAAATAAACAAAATTAATAAACCCCTAGCCAGATTTCTCAAAAAGAAAAGAAAAAGGACCCAAATAGATAAAATCATGAATGAAAAAGGACAGATCACAAGCAACACCACAGAAATATGAAAAACTATAAGAGAATACCATGGAAAAATTATATGCCAACAAACTGGACAACCTGGAAGAAATGGACAAATTCCTAGACACCCACACACTAACAAAATTCAAACAGGAAGAAATCGAAAACTTGAACAGACCCATAACCAGTGAATAAACTGAATCAGT